AACCCTAAACCCCTAAACCCATGATCTCCCCTGTATTCTTCCCTTATTGACATACAGGATCCCAGAACCGTTTCCCCAAAGGCAACTTACATCATTCCTCAAGTGCCTTCACGCCGAGGGGGAGGGTTTGTGGGCTAGGGTTTAGGGTTTAGGGTTTAGGGGTGGTTCAGAACTTCTGGACAGCTCGAGGAAGCGTTTCAAATGAATTTTGCATTCACAGAATGTGGCCAACTGTTATTACCATTATTACTTTTATTACTGTTATTACTTTTATCACCATTATTACTATTATTATTACTGTCATTATTGCTATTACTCGTGGGTTAAAAGTTGTCAAGTACACTACGCGGCTGACCGCTGATATGCTGTGGCCAAGCTTTATCCATTTGGAGAAGATCTTTCCGGCGGTGCTGTCGATCCACCGTAAGTGCCTTGAGTCCTGGGAAAGCCGTTCGCAATGGTGCACAATTTCCTCCATCGACCTCGTAAACAATCCGCACACTCAAACCCGAACTCCAAGAACCCCAAACCCCAAAAAGCCCCAAATCCCAATATATGTAGGGATCACAAAGGTCCCTCTTAAGGATTATTCAGCATCACTTTGAGAAACTCGAAGTTCTGCAAACGGGGGCGACTGGCCAGGTGGCAAGTAAGTGAAGCAGATCCAGATAAACTCCGCACCTTCCAAACCTTGGCGCTGGCGCAAGTTCTCCTTAATCACCAAACACTAAACTTGAACCTTTGAACCCAACACAATCAGGACGTATTGCTTGCGATGGTCCTTGATAGGAGGCTCCTACACACTGTGCGATGTACGGCCATGTTTTTGTCCAAGAAACAGCCCTTTCCCCTTATGAGGGAACCGGCGCACCCCTCAACACATATAATCACGCTAGTATCATTACAGATACTTATCAGTATTTTGAGTATTTGGGGAGTTGCGTGGTCAGCATTGCTGCTAGGAACAAGAAGGGTTCGGAGGGACCCCCTATGGGAGGGCAATATGGGGACCAGCTAGGCATACAGGGAGTGTACTCACTAGCAGTATATATGGGGTATCTTTGGCACTGGGGATAGGAGTCCCTCCCAATAACCCTTGAAAGAGGGCCTTATGTTTTGCATTGTTCTTCTTGCTGCTCCTTGGCGAAGAAGCTGCCATGAGACTTTCTGGTGGTATGGAGTGAATTTTCGAGAGCCCCCTAAACTCTTAGTGCAAGCGCTTCACACCCCAAACCTGAATCCCGCACCCAGCCCCATAGCGAAACCCTGCCCGACGGAGGTTCAGGGGAACTACAGGAACTACAACCCAGCTATAACTGGTATGTATCACCGAGTTATGACGACGTAAGTACGATGAGAACTGGTTATGAATTAATTACCTTGAACCTCCATAGACCCTAGACCCCTGAACCCCTAAACCCTAAACCCCTTAACCCCTAAAACCCTAAACCCTAAAACCCTAAACCCTAAAACCCTAAACCCTAAGCCCTAGAGAAAATGCTGCCAAATTTGCTGCTCACGTCTTTCCTTTTGTTGGTCGGCTTCTCAGACTCATCGTCTGAATTCTCTGTGTCCTGACGACTCCACGCGGTTTAGGGTTTAGGGTTTAGGGGTTCACAAAGCTCTTGACCCTATACTGGGTTCTTATTGAAACACTATTTACAATCTTTTTTGATCTATATCGGGCCCAGGTATACATAAAAATGTAAAATGTTACTCAACAAGAACCCAGTATAATTGAAGATGTGCATCTACTTCAATTAGAACAACAAATCTCGGTAAAGCTTTGGTAACTTCAAGGAACTTTCCATGTCAACTGCTGCGGTCGCCTAAGAGCACCTCAAGAAGGATGTATCATGAACATTCCTACTCTCAGTGTTGAACATCACTAACTGCCTACCCTCTACCGGCCTACAGTGTACTTTCAACGCTGGAACCTTCAGGCTGTGAGTGTTGCTTCCGAGAACTTTAGTACCGCTGAGTCATCATCTGTGCTTCGAGAACCAGGGCTTCAGGAGACAACCAGATTCCCTCTGTGGAGGGTACGGAGACTGAATTTTCTCAAGCTAATGGTCCCAGCTTTTCAGTACATGGGGAGACGCTACTTTGGAGAGACCCGAAGAACACATAAATGACACAGCAACCTCAAACCCCAAACCAAGTGGCCATCGTTCGCCAGTCCAATTTCAAGAGAAAGAAGGCAATGGCCTGTGTGTCAAGGCTGCGGAGCATACTGTAGAAACCTGCAAAACTACACTAGCATCTTGCGTTATGTAGCAGGTACATGCTTTGGGGGCGGTCTTGGGGGCGAGAAGTATCTACCTGTTGCTTAGCAGGGATGAAGGAGAGCATGCTTATGGCCCATGGCCCATTTCTCCTCTGCGCACTAAACCCTAAACCCTAAGCGTTACAAACCATTTCCCCGAACCCTGTGTGAACGGTAGAAATAAGCAGTTTCACATTCTTTTCCGTTTCCACTAAGGACATTCTTCAGATTTCTGGGCTACTGGGAAGGGCCACGGCAGCTTCACCGCCAGAACCTTGGCTAGAGGCTGGGGTTCAGGCTTGAGGGTTTACTTGGGTAGGTTTTGGGGCCGTATAACAGCTAGATTTTTCATGATTAGATAGGAATTAGAACTACAAAAAAACACGTTTAAACCCGCACCTGTTTCGGGTCTGAGTGTAAGGTTCAAGGTTTCCCGTTCAGTGTTTGGGGTTCCGTGTTTTTTAATAGATTTCTCGTTTAGGGTTTAGGATTCAAGGTCTTTGGGAGCTTTGTAGGGTTTGCAGGGTTCGTGATGCAATGTTGACAGGGAGCCGATTTCGTTTGAAATCGACTCGCCAGGCCTTTGCGCATAGTTTCATATCCCCTTTCAAAGTATATAACTCTACACGTTTAATCCTAAACTGCGCCGAACGTAGCATGGAGATTTCCAAAGGTTAGGGGTCTGGGCATGGATCTTGGAGCGCGAACGTTCCAACCAAAGCCTGAAACAAATACATGTTGAAGAAAATGCCCTCAGCGGTCGACAGCCGCCGTCAGCAGGAAACATTTGGAATCCACATAAGCAAAACTACCACTGACAAGCCAAAACTTCTCTCGTTAAAGCTCACAAAGCCTAAAGGCCTTCCTGCATTACCAATACTGTACACCAGCAACTACCCCAAATCTCAAATCTGACCTTCCCTAGAACCCACACCCTAAAGCCCGAAGCCGTAGACCTCAAACCCTAAAATCCTACACTTGACACCCCTAATAACCCTAGTGTGGAGGCCTCAATCACCTACATCGTTTTGAGGTCTATTCGAGGTGCCCTATACTCAAATGAAATAAGGAATCTAGGACCATGGTATTGGTAATGACTCCCTCTCTCAGAGCCACCCCCTAAAATCCAACAACACCCAGGTTCCATTTCATTTTCCGTGTTTTTAAATTATATTTTTGTAGTTGATTCTCCATTATTACTGCAGCCCCCTTACATTACAAGGCCAGTTTTGGGTTTGGCTTTGACGGCTTAGGGCTTATGTCAAACAAGCTGTTCCCTATACAACCCACTGCGTGGAAGTTCAGGGCAAGTATAACCCAACTATGCCTGGTAGATAAACAACAAAGTACAACCAAATTAAGGGACTTACGGGGGGATCAAACGCCATCTTTCACCAGCTTGCCAGCTGTCGTCGCACCGCCAGGCGACATCGGCAGGTAGAACAAAAAGCTGACTCTTAAAACGCAACCAAGGCAGCCGTCATGTTAGGCTGCTACCCCATGGGACAGGTAGAACAAAAAGTTGACTCTTAAAACGTAACCAAGGCAGCTGTCATGCTAGGCTGCTACTCCGTAGGACGCAAAGTCCTGCCCTGGGCTTGGAGGAGCATAGTCGGGTCTGTTGGCTCCGGAGACTGGATCAGCGTGACACAGATCAGGCAACAGTTCAGGCAACAGTTCGGAAGAGCGGCGATGAACGCAACCCAGAAGAGCTGCATGCCGAATACGAAGACGAATACCATCCCAAAGTTCACGAAAGACTCGAAGACCAAGAGCATGATCAGAATGTGCTGCACCTTTCCAGAGCACTCCTTGACCGCCAGAAACCATTGGACGTGAATTATTAGAAGTGTAAGCACGAGCATCGGCATTGCCACGCGGATGTAGGCGAGCAGCGCACCGATGAAGAAGAAATCAATCATAGATTCAGCGTATTTTTGTTCGTAGTCCACCTTAGGATCTGGCGTGCGCTGAAACGAAATGACGGACATCACGAATATGGCGCATGGAATCAAAACCATCCAAATGTTGAACCAGGCTTTGCACATTGAGACCTTCTCAAAGTGTCCTCTTCCGGGTTCGGCACAGAAGCACAAGCATCCACAAAAGCATCCAGGAAAGCTTTTCAGCAGCTTACCTAGAAACTCACAAAGGGAAGAACGGTACATCTGGCCAAAGGCCTGTTGGTAACCGGAACGAGGGGCCAGCTCGAAGCTCGCCATGACTTATGCACGTCTAGCTTCACTGTATGGAATGGAGTGCTCAAATGCTTACGGCACTAGAGCAAGTTTCCACCTGGTTATGTGGGCACATTGGCTCGGTTTGGGGCGCACACCTCAATGTATGAATTCCACAGAATGCCGTTCAGAGCCCCTGTAAAAGAGCCCAGTTTCCATTTCATGTGCTATGTTCGCTTCCATTTGATTCTCCACAATTATCCAGGCCCTAAAGCCTCAAACCAAAACCGTCTACTGATAGTAGGGCTTGTAAATAGGTGATGGGAACAGACATAATTTGTTTGTAATCGGCCACAACTACCCGTGAACCTCCAGGTATAGGACCTAAATCCCCAAACCCCAAACCATACACCCTAAATCCCGAAACCTAAACCCTGCACCCTAAATCCCCCAACCGTAAACCCTAAAGCCTAAATCCCCAAACCCTAAACACGAAACCCTCAATCCCCAAACCCTAAACCCTAAATCCCTAAACCTTAAGCCGTCATTCGCTCTGCCTGAACTCCAATCACGGTGATCAAGGCAAAGCTAGGCCTGACCGGCATTTCCAATCCCGGCTTGCGCTTTAGGTTTAGGACTTAGGTTTCAGGATTTAGGGTTTAGGGTTTAGGGTCTATGGGTTTAGGGTTTCGGGTTTTAGGGTTTAGGGGTTCAGGGTTCAGGGTTCAGGGTTTAGGGGTTTAGGGGTTAGGGGTTTAGGGATTTAGGGTTTAGGGTCTAGGGGTTTGGGGCTGAAGGCTCAGGATGTGGGGTCCACGTTCACGTTTAGCCGGTACTGTCGTAGAGACTCGGGGAATCTGGATTTGGGGCTGCGCCGAAACAAGCGCTTCCTGAGGATTCTAGCGACATTTAAGGTTTAGGGTTTAGAGGTTTAGGGTTTAGGGTTTAGGGGTTTAGGCGTTAGGGTTTAGGGTTTAGAGGTTTAGGCTTTAGGGTTATGAGGGATAGGGAGCATTTGGAGCAACTGCCATGTGTCCTAATTCGCTACTGTCAGGCACAGTTTGTGCAAGGGACACTAAAACTAAAAACCTATAACCTAAACATGAAGAGCATCTTCACAGCTGCCGGTCACGGTTGAAATCTTCAGGGATCGAAGTGAGAAGCTATGATCCGAAAGCCGTGCAGAGATGACGTGACTTCGGTGTAGGGTTCAGAGTTCAGACTGTCAGGTTCGGGGTTGAATATGGGCATACGACATGGATCTAGGTTTTCCAGTAGTGTTGAGTTCGCAGTTCAGCTTCCCTGAACCCTAAACCCTAAATCCTAAACCCTAAACCCTGCACTACCTGGACAGTCTAAGCTCCGCAAGCCTGCGAAGCAGGAGAGGCCGAAGGCTTAGCGCCAAGGCTTGACTCCCCAAGAAGCCCAAACCCGCAAACGGGAACCCCATTTAGGAAGCCCAGATCCCTTACACTTAAGGTCTATGGTTTTGCGTTTCGGGTTGGACTCCCAAGGCTCTCTAACAACCCATGAAAGTCTTTTAATCGGGCCGTTCGTCAACTGCTGTCCTTTGACAGGAATGCGATTATTGAGGGGTTCCGTGTTCGATCTACTAATGATACCATGGGCCTGGACTACGCATCAAGGTTCCTGCCCTTAGTTGCGCCTATTCAGGGTTACTTCAGTCTCCAAGGGGAACCTTAGCAGGGGTTAGTATGGGGGTTTGAGGTAAGATCCCATGGTCTTGGCAAAGGGTTCTGGCCTTGGGGGCTTTGGGGATGTTTTCAGGTTGGGGGCTTTGCGGTTTTGAGCTTAGGGTTTCTGAGGTGTTGAGATCTAGGCTTTGCGGTTTGGGTCTCAGGGCTTAGCGCTGAACTTCACTGGGTTGCTGCCCCACATGCTGGGGCCCATACATTGAAGCGTTGTTCAAGGTTGCTGGGGATTCACAAGGCTCATAAGGCTTCTTAATCCTTGTTGTCGTACAGAACGGGATGGCTGCACACCCATAAGGGAAGCGCAAAGAAATGACACGAGTAGAACGATAGACAAGGAAATCCCATGTCAGGCCCCTTTAACTTAATCATCCTGAAGAAGGTAGGGACATCCCCCAAAAGTTTATACTTCTGCTCATTTTCTTTCTGAACCCAAAACTGAAATCCCTAAACCTTACACCACTGACCTTGAATCCTAAACCCCAAAGCCCAAACCAACCCCTAAACCCTAAACCCCAAAGCCCAAACCCTAAGCCCAAAGCAAGCCTGTGCTTTTGCACCGGCCCGGCAATGAAGTACGACATCGATTGCAGCATCTGGTTGATGCCCAGGGCCATTGCCACCTCAGCTTACAGTAGCGCTTAGGCTTTTTAGGTTTCAGGGTTTGCGAGCATACGGGTATCTTACTATGATTTAGGTCAATTCCATATTCTATCTACTTAAGAAGGACTATAAGAGCTGCTGGTTTACACGAGTACGGGTGTTTGGAAGGAGTACAGGGTTTTGCTATCTGGGTCTAGAGCTTTGAGTTTAGGTTTCTGCCTGCGGTTTCCAAAGGATTTGTTGGGTTTTCTGCAGGTGCACATGCCAAAGCAGCAAAGCTTTGAGTCCGCACATGTTGTCACACTTGACGGAGCGCGCAACAGCATGTCAAACATGTAGTGTGTAGCCTGTCTAGAGGGGCTGGCAGCCCTGGATACTATAGGGGCCAAAATAATTACCAATTTCCTTTTGAGGTCCACTTGAGGTACCATATACTATAAGTACACAAGGAATATGGAACCGTAATATTGGTAATTATCTAGGCCCCTATAGTACGTCTACATCTTGACTAAGGGAATATAAGAGCTAGAGATGATGAAAGCAGATGGTTAGATCCTAGGCCTTACCCTTTGCAGTTCCAAGCTTGCTTACGGGACCCCGAGCCCTGCACCCCAAGCCTAAATCGTGCGCCCCACACTCTAAGCCCTGCACCGCAACGCCTACAACCTCCATAGCTTTAACTTTAATTAAGCCCTGAACCCCAAACCCTTCATATATCTGCAACGCCTTTACGAGGACCTAAGGGAACGCCTTCAAGGGACCTAAAAGGGGCCCCTGTCTTCAACCACAGCCACCCGAGAGTAAGCATCGAATCGAAGCCAAGCTCGGTGGTGCTCCGCAAACTTGGCACGATGCTCCTTGGGAACAAGGGGGAAGGGATATAGGGTTCAGGGTTTGTAGAGTTTAGGGTCTAGGGTTTAGGGTTCGGAGGTCACGATCTAGCGTTTAGGGTTGGGATTAGGGTTGACGCTCCTTGGGCATCTCATAATCGAGGCCTCTTTGAAGGGACTCTCGGGCAGATAGGACTCAGGGAGGATTCAGGGTTTAAGGATTTAGCACTAAGGATTTCAGCACAAGATTTACGCTCCTCGGGCAACTAGGGATTAGGTTTAGGTGAGTATAGTACCAGTAGGAAATGATGACCATAATGAAAAATCAAATGGGAACGAGCATGAAACATGAATGGAGACTGAGATGTTCATAGGGGTTTGTGGGTGCCCTTCAAAGATTAGGGTTTGGGGACTAGGGCTGATGCTCCTTAGAGTTTCAGGGGTGAAGTTCTAGGTCGGCATGTTTGAAAGACATGGGGCGAATATTGGAGTGGAGAAGCTAATGGAAAGCAACCTGGCAGATGCGATGGAAGCTGGGATAATCTAGGGATGTGAGATTTAGGTAGGCATATCTGGCTATACTTATACTTGCCTGTGTATCACCTGGATATATCCCTACTCAGACTGATTCAGGGTTTTGGAGTTATAGTCGATAGAATATGAGGTATATGGGGATCTTATTGTATATACCCAAAGCCATATTCTATCTACTTAATGGGACTATATGTATTGGGAGTTATGTACTGCTTGCTTGATTATCCACTGGGGTGTTGGGGATGAAGTTTAAGTTTCCGGTTCCTCAGTGCAACATGTCCAAAACAGTACGAAACACTGGTGGCGTCCTCAGGGTTGGGGGTGAAATACAGTGCCACCATCTGCTTATAACCACCTTTTGCTAAACAGCTGACAGTTTAAACTTTAGGGTTAGGTGTTCCATAGGAAGATCAACTTCAGGAGTTTTTGCAAGGTGAGGAGATACCAGGTGGGTACCCTTACATGGTTATTACATAAGGCTCAGCCGGGGAGAATGGTAGATATGTCGATACATGTACGGCTTATCTGGCTGTGGATCAAGACGCCCCGTTTTGTCCCACCCCCTGTGACCCCTCGTTACATACCCTTTTGTCGCGGCCTGTTGTTACATACCTTTGTCGCAAGTGCTTGGTACGGGCATGCCCCACAGAAAGAGCTTGTCGCAAAAGTGCATGTCGCAAGCCAGTATACATTTGAGCTATAATCTAAACTCCTAGTATCCCCCTTAATAACCCCTATAGTAGTCCCTTGTATAATCCACTATATAACCCCCTTTAAGGAGTTTAGACTATAGCTCATTTGTTACAAGCCTATGTCGCGGAATGGCCGCCCAAGCCTGCTACATTGTCTTCAACTCACAGCCAATCAAATAACGTGATTGTGCACCCTAAACCCTAAACCCTTTAGGGTTTAGGGTTGAGGGTTTAGGACTTACAGGCCCATGAAAAGCAATTACTGGGGCCAAGAAGGGGATAAATGTAGGTAATGCCATTTGTAGAACTGTTTGCTTAGAGTACTTTGCAAACCCTAAGCCCGAAACTACCCAACCTCCACGCAAACCTAACACCTTGGATACTGACACCCGCCCTCTTACGGTCCCCATGCATCGTTTTTTTGTTTAGGGTTTTGAGGTTTAAGATCTAGGGAGATAATACCTTTAGTACGGGTCCTATATTTGACTGTTTTATATGGTGGGCGCAGTATTCAACCGACATCTGCCAAGGATCATGCTTGATTAGGTCGTTCTTGATCCTTGGCATCTTCAAGTCTTCAAAAGGAGTCGCGAGAGCCTTGCAAGCAGATGTGTGATGTGCAGTTGCCCCAAGGATGTTGGATTGCTTAGTACTTTGAAAGGCCCCCGAACATGTTTATGAATAGACTCCCCTTCACGACAACACGGGGAACTGATAGTTTTCCCAAGTTGCCGCCCGGTTGGGTGTTACATATGTGCTTGTAGGGACTATGTGGAACTCTTCTTGAGAAAGTAGAGTTGGTTGTAAACATCTGAAGGCTCTGGTAAGGGCGCCAAGCTTGCAAGTCATAGTATGAGGGTTGCGCCCTCCAACATCAGGATAAAAGAGATTTCCCACAATGCGGTACCTGGAAAATGGGGCTTCCGCACCTTCTGCAAAGCAGATCGCAAACAGGGAAGACCCTGGACTTTAATTTTTCGTCTGGGACAAAGTCAGTATCTCTGTACGGAACGGATACCTCTAGCAGTTCCTATACAGTGCCCTGCAGCTTTTGCTAGAAATCCATTCTCCCAGTCCCTACCCTAAACTTTCAACTTGTACACAAACATGCTAGTTTTCATTTTGATGTCCATTCCCTACCCCAAGCCAGAAACCAAAAACCTTCATCGATGCCTCCATTTTCCATCCCCTTCAAAAAGCACCAGAAAGACGAACACAGCCTTGCCTCTAAGGACAACGTCTGAGGCTCCCCCAGCCTCAGCATTCGGAGCTTCAGGGTGATTAGTTACAACCCAACTGCAAGGGATTACATAGGGTCGTGAGCGGTGATGTAGGTTGATATAGGCTTATATAAGGGTATCTAGGGTTTGGGGTAACTATATTCCAACTAGAACTGTAGCTCTAACACATGTATAACAAACCCCTGGAGTCACCTAGTATGACTATGTTTGGGTCAGAAATACTGTTTTTAGTTGGGTGCTAACTGCCCTGGACCTCCCAGTAAATCTGGTCCGGGCTCAGAGTTTGGGTTGCTTGGGCTTGCAGGTGTAACGGTTGTTCAGCTAAAGGTAAGGGGTCAGGGGTTTAGGATGTGGGTGGAGAGTCACAATTAAGGGACTTCACGGCCGCGGAAAGACAAAAAATTCTCGCCCGAAAGTTCTGCATGCATCGTCCTAAGCCCTAATCCCTAAATCCTCATCCTTATAAGCCATGAGTCCTAGACCCTGAGCTCTATAAATCCTGGATAGCAAGCGCTAACCCCTCACTCCAAAAAACTCCCTGGTGCTTAGGAGGGAAAGGAAACATGGAATATTGGGATTCTTATTTGGGATTCTATAGGGACTATTATAGGTGCAATAGGGAGCCATTCCCCCCTAAACCCTAAGCCCTAAACCTAAACCCGCCAGGGAGGAATTGCTGATAGAGGAGCTCCACTGAGCTGGCAGCCATATCCTGGGGCGTGCAGGCGGGGTTGAATTTAGGGTTTAGGGTTCAGGGTTTAGGGTTGTAGGTCTTAGGCTTTTAGGAGGTTTGGGGCATCATGGGCTATAGGGATTATACAGGGATTGTAGAGGGTTTATACATCAAGGTGAGACTCTAGCCTTCTCTAAGGGCTATCCGTTTGGACGGTACAACCTCCCTGGATACCCTAAGGAGAATGAACATGTACTGCCTTGCAGAAAGCAAACTCTTGGCAGTGTTGACCGTAGATGTGCGCGACTTGGTGAGCCCAGCAATGCGTAATAACAGTAATGATACTAATAATAGCAATACTAATAACAATACTAAAAATAGTAGTAGGCCGGTTCATGCATGACCTTTCGAAATTCCTCTACGAAAGCCTGTGCGGGAGTGTCTGGACTACAATCTCTTCCAAGACATGAGTTCATCCCATCATATGTAGGGGCCTGCATAGCTAATTTCAACAGGGTTTGGGGATAATTAAAATGTCCTATAAATAGCTCAAGGTTAGAACAGAACAGCATTGGTAGAAATTCAGGCTTCTACTACACTTCAAAGGAATGCCCTCGGCCAGAAAAATTATCCCCAAAATGGCTATTGGTCCTGGTATGATTCTGTGTCAGGAAAAATTTGCAGTGGCCGTTCCCTGTGAACTACTCTAGATCATCCCTCATACTGCTGACCGACTAGATACGGCCTTCTTTAAGTATCCTTGACACCAAGAGTTCTGTCGCGTATATCCTACGCGGCCCTAAACCCCAAAATCCACACCCTCCCGTGCGACTCTTGCAATTCAGCGTCTGCTGCGATGTTGCTGTTTGCACTCGTGGCCACTGGAGATCCTTTTGCTCACTAGTCAGTAGTAGGGAATGGAATAGAAGATGGAAGCTACATATTATTCAGGGCTTAGGGTGGTTGGTAGGGAACAGAGGAAGGGATCCATATGGTAGTGCTAATAAGTTCACCTATGATAGTCCATATATCCTAGTACTTCAGTCCCTACTGACCACCAGCAAGTTTAGGGTGTATGGCATAGGGTTGGGGCGTAGAGTTAGCAGTGGGTCTTTTCGGTTGAGGCTTCAGTGTGCAGAATTCAGCTTGTACAGGCAACCCTGACAAAGCCTTGATGAAGACCTCACTCCTTGCAACAGGGGCTATGCAAGGCTCCATGCTTGTTTGGGGGAGGTAGGGGCATGGTGTTTAGGTCTTAGGTTTCGCAGTATATCACCTATGGATGCAGTGTCTGAAGCTTCAGGGCATTTGGATGCATGTTGTAGGCATGCTAGGATGCCGAAGCCAGCATGTTGGGTTCATGGCTTTGGCCTTCGGGTGCATTGAACCCGATATACGATAATTACGGCTGTAGCTGAAATAACAGTAGGAACCCTAATATGAAGTGGTACTTGTCCTCAATCAAGTTACCCTAGCTTGCTAAGCCCTACACCCTTGTGCACAACATGCATGCACCAGACCCGTATGGGAGGCTATTGGACGACTTTCGGTTTAGGGTCTAGGGTTTCGAGTTTAAGGTTACAAAAAAACCCTTCAATCTTAGACCCTAGGCCCTATAAGCCCTAAACCTCAAATCCCTGAACAGCAAGACCCCACAACCGCTAAAACCATAACTCCCCAAGCCCTAAAACCCCTAAAGGCCTGTGGACCTCCCCAAACTCCCTTACCCCTAACACACCCCAATCCCTGAAACCCTTAAACTCCCAATCCCTGAAAAGCTAAAGCCTCAACCGGTTACCTTGTCTCCACCTGACAACCCTAAACCCTAAACTCCTAAATCCTGAACCCTAAACCCTGAACCCTAAACCCCTAAACCCTGAAGTGTTTCCGCCTGGCACAATGGCCGAAGACGAAGCAGGTTGCCCCGCACCCGCAGGCTGCGCCGTGCAAAGCTTCTTCTGGAACATCCTCGAAGGCAACTGGGTTGCCGATAAGGAATTTAGACTACGTTCCCATCATATGGGTATATAGGGTTTAGGGCTTAGTGTTTAGAATTTAAGTTACCACAATAGGGTTACATAGTAAAAAATGCGGTCTCCTTTGTATAGTAATTTAATCTAAGTGCCTTGACAGCAGCCAAATCAAGGGGCTTCTGGTCCCTTTTTGGGGTGCTGCTACGAATTCTATTCGTGGCTTCCGTATTGGCTTTCGGTAAAATTCATAGAAAAACTTCACACGTCCAACAATGGCCTAGGTATAGAATTCAGGCGATATGGGAGTGGGTTTCAGGCATTGTGGTGGCTTATTCTGGGACATCATTGACGGAAGTGTTAGCGTTCAATAAAGGATTTCGGCTAGCCCTATTCCACATGATCGCCATGTGACTGTCGTATGACTCATGTAGAGTCATTACCAGAATGGTTGGGAGTCTTGAAATGTCTTGTTAGCCTCGTGGGGTTTAGATGTTTAGCGTCTTTGGTGTTGGCTTCATCTGAGGACTTCTAGCCGAGCAAACGTGTGTAGCGATTGGGTAAGATACGAACTCAAGCTGAGTCCCGCAGGTTGACCTTTTGAATTGAAGTTTGCTGGTAGTTACCCTGAATATATGGAGACTCCAATATAGACCCAAACATATTGTAGCCCTTATAAGTAGGATGCCCTAAATGGCAACCGTAATTACGGGAAACCCCGAACCCTAAACCCTATATAGTAGTTTCCGAAAATAGGGGGGGACCCCATATAGACGCCAAAATGCTATAATTCTTACTATGGGGACCCTAAAATGGTAGCCCTAATTCTGGGAAACCCCCATATAACCCCCCCAAAAAAGAGTGAAGAGACAAGTCTTTGCATTGTGAGTGTGTAGCAGCAGCTTCTCAGGTTTCCTGGTGACCAGTGACTTAGTGTCTGCGCCTGCGGAGGAGATGAGATAGGGTTGAGGGTTTGGGCTTCAGGGGTCAGCGATCTAGACCCTGATAGACTCCAATTTCCTTGGAACTAAAATAATGCCTCTCCGAGCCTCCTAGGCTGGGATGGATTCTTGTGTATGCAATAGCCCCTCCCGATATGGAAGGTTCGCCGTGGACATGAGGCAAAACCGCTCAATGATTGAACGTTCAAGCAGCGCCCATCAGGAAGCATCGAACCCTAAACCTTGCTTGTTTTGAGTCCACAATCTAGGCCTCACGATACGAAAGCCACGTACCCAAAGGCAAGAACTACCATTCAGCAGTCTCCGTCCAAGGCTTGAGCGTTTAGGGCTTCCTAAGGCCGAAGTCGACCTGTCCTGTATATAGAGCGGAAGAGCGATGTCGCTTGGCGCATCTCCCGCAGGTTGTCGGGAGTCGGGATGGTCAATCGGTTGTGGTCCTGGCGGGGCAGCGACACATGAGGGCGACCAATCAAATACACATCATCTCTGAAATTCCACAACCAGAGCTTTCCTTAAGCAACCCTGCGAACGTAGAACTACATCCTGAACGCACGCTCGAAGTACAGCAATAGCTAACAAAGGATCCCTTGGTAGGCTTGTTCAGGGTACACTATGAACCCCTAAATCCTAAATAGTAGTTTCCATTTTCTTTTCCATTATGCTTATATATACCCAATAATGGACCCCATGTTCTATCTACTTAAGGGGTACCGTCAGAAATGGCAGCGAGTCGAGGTGTTCAACTGCTGTGATATCATGGAAGCACGAGACTTGCAGCTAAGGCTTTTAGCTTCAAACCGTTGATGCCGCCAATTGTGCAGAAAAAGCCTCAAATCTCCGACTCCAGATTTTGACCTCTGAAATCTTGCCGAGTATACCGCTCAAGGCTTCAGCAGCTTTACTAGAGGGTTATGAAGTCCCACCATGCAGCCAAGAACAATCTTAATGAAATCGCAAAAGCATGTTTTGGGTCAATCCCCCACCCAGTAATGGGTACCACAAGGGACTATTGTAGGTATATTAAGGCCTTATTAAGTCCATATTAAGGAGCTATTACTAGAGGGGGGATTGACCTAAAGCATGTTGCTAAGACACAAGATGGTTTCTAGCAAGCGAGTCCAAGCTCAAGGCTGGTGAAGGCAGTGCCTATCTGCTTCAAGACAAGCGTAGCATATCCTCAGAATGTATTCCTATCTACAACAGAAACCCCCTAAACCTCAGTCAAGGAAGGCCACCAACTTTTATGACTTATAACCTACCCATAGCCTTTCAACTCGCAAACCCTAGCAGAATCTGTCTTTTTTAGCAGGATCTTTTGATTTTAAATAACCTTACATCTGCCCTGGAACCCTCCTAAACGAAGTTGTCACTGCTTACTCGGGGTCTTTTTCTTCTGCAAACATGAAGCAGGGTTCCGTAAATGTCTCCGACATTCTCCAACAAACATCACTTTGGTATTGTGAACGCAAAATTAAAATAAAGAAGGTGATGTTTGAGCCACTTAACGAGGGAAAATTCGGGGTAGTTCCCCGAAATAAGGGACCCACTACAGGCCCCAAAATACTATAGTCCCTAAACCCTGACGACTAAAGCCCTAAACCCTAACCCTAAAAGCTTAACCCAAAACCCCTAAACCCCTACACCCAAAACCCCAAACCCCTAAACCCTAAACCCCTAAACCCTAAACCCGTAAACCCTAAATCCTAAATCCCTAAACCCTAAACCCCTAAACCCAAAATCCGAATTTGGGGAAACTAACGTCTGGAACCCTGTGAAGCACTGTTTTCAGGCCATCCCTGGACTAACGAAAATAAGCTATCCTGGCTTCAGGGAGTACTATAATATCAATAATATTAATGTTAGTAATAATATTCATATTATTAATATTAATGTTATTAATATATATATATATGGGGATGCTAGGGTTATATTTAATCAACTGTCTGTTTCGGCTTTAGGGCTTAAGGGGTTTAAGGTTTTTAAGGTTTCCAGGGTTTAGGGTTTTGGGCTTAAGGGTTTAAGGTTTCAAGGGTTTAGAGGTTTTGGGCTGAAGGGGTTAAAGGGTTTCAAGGGTTGAGGGTTTTGGGCTTGGAAGTTAGGGCACCCCAAAACGTCCAAGCAGGGAAGGCCCTCCGAGAATCCCCCATGCAAATCTCCTATCAAGGAGCCCTTCCTAGGGATTTTGGTGTACTTCGGAGCTCCCCCTGTTCATACTGAAGCTCCTGCGAGACCTTAGTATAGTTTGAAATTCTATTTCCCAAGGTATCAGCCGCTTTGGGTCGATCTGGATGTCTTGCTCCAGCCGCAGGAAATGCCGACGGTCGGAATCTATCCTAAGCAGTACCCTAAAACCCAAAGCACCTTCAATTGAAAATCTACGCGACACTATAAGACCAAAACCCCCGAAACCTTAAACCGTAGGAATCTATCTTACTGAAAGCAGTCCAGGAGGAACTCAACACCGATCGCATGCGCAGCCACCGAGGCATGAAGTGAGAGCCTGACACGTAGTTTAGGCTTTGGGGTTGAGGGATTAGAGTTTGGGGATTAGGGTGTAGGGTGTAGAGCTTCGGATTATCCGCAAGGTATAAACCTCCAAACATACTGAAGTTGCCAGTATGGTGTAAGGCATGGCTCTTCATTCAGGAAGTTAGTGGTTGTGGAAATTCCAGTTTTTTCCCCCTTGCGGACTCGAACTATCCTAAACTTGAATAATTTCTTGTCACTCTAGCATAGGGAGTTGTAAAGGCTAAGTATGTTCACGCGATTACGCATTCAAAGCACTTGTCTTGGCCATGGGGTAAGAATGACATCTTTGCTGTCCCCAGCACTAGGATGGTCAGAAGGACTTAGTAAGGATGTATAATGAGAACCTACCTACTAAGTTTCTTGGAGCTTTGGAGAACAGCTATTGCTGCGCCCACCATCCCAGAGAGCACAGGCTACAACAATAAAGCAGGCATCCCTTAATCCTAAGGCCCGAAATGTACTCATCGTCAGAAGAAAATGAAGGAGTAGCTTCTCATAGTAATCCCTATGCCTAGAACCATTCCCTCACTCCCTGCAAGCCACCAGTAAGTCTAATCCGGTACGACGTAGCCGTACCTAGGAACGCCGCATGATGTTCTGGCAAGAGTTCCAGGTCAGGGGTCTAAGGTTTCGGGTTTCGGGGGCGAGAGTGCATCAAGTGCCTCTGCTTTCAAATGTGGAAGATGACTGGCATACGCCTTGAAGCGCTGGACGATGGGAAAATAATCGCTTCCCCCTAATAATAAACGACGTCCCCACCCCCCCCCCTCAAATAACAAATATTCCGGGGGGTCAGAAATTATTTGTTATTGGGGGAGAATATTTATTGAAAGGATTTGGTAGGGCCGCCTTTAAATTCCTTTTAAAATCAATTAAAATCGAATTAAAATCCCGTTCGAATCAATTGAAATTTAATTAAAATTCCTTTTAAAATCAATTAAAA